AAACTTTTGGCAGCGTTTTTTGGCTTCTGGCGTCTCATCTAATTCTTTGCTCAAGACAAGAAGGACCTGGAATGAATTTAACTAGCTAGTTATTTCTAAACAAACTACCCTATAACATAACCAGAGCAGGGGCTGCCCTCCATGCTGCCTCCATCTGCCCAGGTTGGGTCAGGGGACCCTGAAGAGTCTTGTTCTACCAGGCACTTAGAGGCAAGCTGAATGCTGGGCGCAGATAGAGCTCCTGCCTGGGCCTCTTCCATTCCCTTTCCCATGGTAGCTGATAGACATGAGCCACCAACGGGCAGATGGGTCAGGGCCTCTTGCAGGAAGGATAGCCAAGCTGAGGCTCTTGGGAGCCCATGGATTCTTGGGGAGGGTGGTCAGAACCATGGCAGGCCAGGTGGGATTAAGCTGTGGCTACTGCAGGGATCAGAGTGCTACATGGCTCTCTGTGAAGCAGCTCCTGGACTTGGCAGCACCTGCCTAAGGGCCTAGGGGTCATTGGTGTTGGCCCAGGGACTTTGGAGAGTGAAGGTAGAACCCCAGGGGCATCCTCTGTGTGAAATGTATGGAGGGTACCTGGATGGTTGGAGGGGGATGATTCAGAGGCCTCGGAAGGCAGAACTCAGGGCTTAGTGACAGGATGATGACAGTGGAGGATAGCAGGTAAGGAAGTTGATTCAGCAGGGAATGTTCTGGAAAAACAGGTTTGAAATTCTTGCTGTGTACAGTAAAGCTAGGGGGCCCAGGGATGCTGGGCTACTAGGAGTGGAGGTCTTGGCCTGGGCAGCTGGGAAGTGGCCCTTGGGCTCCCACATATGGCACTGGATGAGGACCCTGCGTGCCTGTCTCCCAGGGCCTTAGGCTAAATGGCAGCCATGTGTCTTGGAGGCTGGGACAGTAGGTGCCCCATTTCCATGGGGGGGGGGTAGTGGTTAAAGGGCTTTGTCCTTGCCAGAGATGCTGGAAAAATGTGAGCTGCTGACCCAGCCATTTCCAGATAGAAGCATGGAACAGTCCCAGAGGCAGTTTGCTACAGGAGAAAGTGAATGATTCTGGTGGTGGGAGCTCCTGGAGGGTTGGGAGCTGAGAAGCAGGGCAGTCAAGAAGTCTTCCTGTAGGCGATGACCAGGCTGGGCCTTGGAGTCATTCAGGAATGGACTGAGGAGCCATCATAGCCCCTTATATCTACCTCTCTAGCACCCTTTTACTAGTGAGGAAATGAGGGTCAGAGAGGGCTGAGCAGGTGCAAGACAACCCCGGAGTGGAGCTGAGGAGCCTGAGCAATCTCAGGCCTTCTTCCTCTGTCCACTGCCTCCTCCCTCCCACTCCTATGGAGGCACAGCATCTTTCAGAGCCTGGCCCTTTTGGATCCTTTCTTCTGGTGCAGGTCCAGGGCCTGGACCTGCCTTGTGTCTTCAGGGTACTGGCAGCAGAGATAATGGCCAAGAGATATGATAGGTGGGGTGGTATGTGCTGGGAAGGGAACCCCTTCATTCTGCCCTCGGCCTTGTCCACTCTGAACCCACTGGCTGGCTAGGACAAGTCTGAGTCTCTGTCTGGAGCAGAGATTCCCTGCTCACGTCCCTCCCCTTCACTTCCTTGCCATCTCCCCAACTTGACCTCTGGAAGGGCCAGAGAGGAAAGTACCTGGCTCGGGACGGCATGGCACACTACTCCAGGCCTTCTGAAGGTGCAGCCCTGGGCCTTTCTAGACCTGAAGGAGAAAGCAAGGGACAAACAGATCAGACCCATGCGCTGGAAGCTTTCTCAGTCTCTTGTGGCCACAAACATTTGTTCTGACCCCATCCCGGGGTCCCAAATACTTCCTTGTACCTCAAGGTGCTTTCTTCCTTCATTCCACAGCATTTTAGAGTCTGAAACCATACACAGGGCTGTAGATATAACAGACCAAGAGAGGAAAGAGTCAGGGCCCAGGGCTCAGGGTCCCCATGTTGCCATTCAGCTGAGGAGTCTTTGCAGCTCTGCTAGGAGTTCTGATGTCACCAGATGGCACCAGTTGACACAGTCAGCTGCCGGTCACTGCTGCTGCCAGCTGTCACCACCTGGTGTAAGCTTGTGCAGGACACCATAGGTTGACTCTGCTGGTTGGTCACTGTCCAATGCCAGCTTGTGCTAGGGTAGTTCCCAGGAGAGATGTCTCCGAGACTGAACTCCAAGAAGTTGCTAGAAAGGGCTACCTATGTAGCAGCTTGCAGACCTATTTCATTGAGGGTGAGGGCTGAAACCAGGGAATCTTTTGGGGGGCTTCCTGTGAATTCTGGGTATGAAAACAAAGGGGCCTGATCTGCACTTTTCTTATCTTAGCTACTCCTGGGTGCCTTCTGTTCTCAAAAATGCAATAGTATCCACGGAAGTGGCAGGAGTTGGGGAGGGCCCCACATAGCCTGGCTGCACTCATTTTGGCATGGAGAATGGCAGTTTGGTAGCTAGGGTGGACAATGGAGCAAACTGTACCATCCATTGGGGTACAAGGAGAAGCAAAGGGGAGCAAAGGGGAAGGGCAGATAGCCACTAGAAAAGTCATACTCCACAGCCAGCACAGAGACGAATGACAGACAGGCACTTCTCTTCCACCTCACCCAGACTAGCCAGAGAGAGACCCCTGACTGCTCTATGGCTATACTGCAGAGTGTGACAATCAGGGGTGCTTGGGGTCTCCAGGAGGCCCTAACTTGGTAGAGCTATCTCAGCTGAGGCCTAAGGGTAGGTGACCACCGGATGGTAGGGCATGGAAGAGCATCAACCAGGGCAGCAGGGCCTGGCTGTCAGGTCCTCTCACTCTGTCTCTCTTCTAGCAAGGTCAGATGAGTGCTCGGTGAGTCAGCCAGGAGTGAGGTAGCATTTGCCTCTGGCTGCTCTGTCCTTTCCAATTGCACACCTGCACACACAGGTAGGGCCTCAGATAACACAAAGATACCCAGGACCTTGCTCATCCTCACCCAGCAAGTAGAGCTGTAGCTGGGTCTGGCCTCTGGGCCTTAGGTTTTTCCTCCATAGCAGGAGTCACCTATACACACACAGCCACAGCCCTAGACATGGGGCTTGCTCATTGCTTCCCAGAGGTTAGCATGGCCCGCCCAAGTCTTGGGTCTTCCCCTGGGATCCTGACTACCCTCTGCCTTGCTAGGCTGGGCTTATGGGTGCAGTTAGTGTCCATAGGCTGGGCAAGGGACAGGGTTCTGGGCCAGCTCTGTCCTAACCCCTCATCCCTTATGAACCTGTACTTTCTGCTCTGCCAGAGTACAAATCTAAGGAGCAGCTATGTAGTTGGAGCAGAGTCTGAGAAGCCGTGCCCTGCCTTAGAGTACAGCCTGCTCCTGGAAAGGGTTGGACCCTAGGTCTCTAACAGAGACAAACTAGTTCTCCTGCCTGGCTGGTGGGACCCATCAATGTCAGCATCCAGGGATCTGGGCAAGAGTTACCTACTTCCAAAGTCTGGATGATAAGAGAAAAGTCCTTAGTGTGGGACCATGAAATGGTGGAGAGAGACTATATGGGGCTGTGGAATCATGACAAAAACAACCGTGGGACCTCAGAGGCCCATGTCTGCAGGCTCTTAGCAGTAGGGCTTGCTGAACACCAAAACTTCTATCAATTCTTCCATTTAGCCATCCATTATCTATCCATTAATTTATTTATCATTCATCTGCCCATTCATCTTTCCATCATCCATTCACTATCTATCCATTCATCATCTATCTAGTATCCATCCACTCACCCACCCATCCATCTATAATTTACATGTCATCCATCCATTCATCCTCCATCTATCCATTCATCATCCACTCATTTATTATCCATCTATGTATCCATGCTATCATTACCCATCCATCCATTCACCATCCACCCATACTTTGTCTATCATCTCTCCCTCTCCCTCTCATATATCCATTTATCCACCTATCCATCATCCATCCATTCATTATCCATCATCCATGTGCCCATTTTTCTATCATCTATTTTTTATCCCTCCATCCATTCATCCAGTTATCATCATCCATCATTGACCCATCCATGTACCCATCTATCCACCTATCCATGATCTATCCAGTCATATATTCACCCATCTCTCTTCCATCCATTTTTCCATCCATCCATTCATCCATCCAATCACATATCCATCGTCCATCCATTATTCATCAGTTCTTCACCCATCAGTCTACTCATCTGACTATCTATCTATTTATCCATTCATCCCATAAATATAGTTTTAAAAGTGTCAGCAAGGGGGCTGGGGATTTAGCTCAGCGGCAAAGCGCCTGCCTGGCAAGTGCAAGGTCGTGAGTTCGGTTCCCGGTACCGGAGAAAAACAAAACAAAAAAAAAAGTGTCAGCAAGGTACTCTGGATGACAGGAATGTGGATGTGAACAAAGCACCTTCCAGTCCTCTCAGAGCTCACATTTTTCAGGTCACCATCGACAAAAACAACAAAATGCGTTCTGCAATGTTAAGTCTGTACAGGGCTATGAAGACAGACCAGGGCAGGGTAATGGAGTGTTAGATTGGGTGGTCCAGGAAAAACAAACATGTCAGAGCCTGTTAACAGCCTGGGAGTGTCATGGGTGAAATTTGCATTGCGGTAAAAGATATTTCCCTTAGTCACATGGAAAACTCCCAGGATACTGATTACATCAAGTCCCCTCAGGGACATCTGTTTCCCACTGGTCCCACCCTCAGAATGCTCTTATTCTCTCCTATCCTTGGGAGTTCCCATAGGACCCTCATGACCCTCCCTGAGCGTTGGTACAGACCAGTTCTCTGAGGAGTCTCAACAGGGCTGTGGATATGAAGACCTTCAGCAGGTCCCAGGAAAGGACCACTTGGTGGTCTACAGTGGCTTTGCCCCTCCGGGCCCTATCCCCAGCTGGGTGTTACCACTGGCAGCCTCTGCCTTTCTGGAGATGCATAGCTATTAAGATGCTGTCTCTGCACTGCTCCCTCCTCCCCATCTCCTTTCGCACTCACAAATCCCCCTGGTCTGCAGGTGTGGGCCACTCTGGGATTTGGAACAACCACACTTCAGACAGGCTTTCTCTGAAGAGGGGTTAGTTATCAGCTTACCTGATAGCTTGGTAGCTGGGAGGAGACTTTGGGAGGTCATCATTGATCCCTGTCCTCAAGAGAGAAGGGAACACTGGAGGCTCACTGCCTACCTGTTGGCCTGTCTGCCAAGAGCCCCATGCTTCCTAGAGTAGTTGAGTTGTCCACATAGAGAATGATGAGGCTGAGGGCCAAGTTCATTCTTCGAGCTTCAGACAGCTGCTGCATTTGAGGCTGGAGTAGGCTGGCTTGGCCTGGTGGCCAGTAGGACCCTGGTTTGGTGCTCAGTCTGGGGCAGACATGAAGGTGTTTATCCAGGAGTTTGTGCGTGATAAAAGTTATCTCTGGGTGTGGATCAATCTCAGGGAAGAAAGAAAGTTCCCAAGTGGGGCCCTGCCAGGGAGCTCATTACCACAAGCCTAGGCGTAAGGGATGGAGAGGTATGGTATCTGCATCTGGAGTTGTGTAAGAGTGGTATGGGTGGGTGCTTTGGGGCAGAGACACTGGTGCCCAGGATAGAGAAGCATCCCAGACTGAGAGCCCAGATTGGATGAGCTGCTGGCAGAAAGGGCCCTGAAAGAGCTCCTTCTTCATTTGGGGCTCCCCACTGGTCCTTGCTGTGGGCCTAAACACAAGGCTGGCCCTAGGGTTCTGGCTTTGCTGCATTTTGAATCTTAGTCCAAGCACCTTTGAGCTCTGGCTGCCTCCTGCCCCACCCAGCTATCCCTGGGGCACTCAGGAGTTACTGCCCCAACCTGTTCATGCCCTGCCCCACGTGTGCCTAAACTGTTTCTCCTAAATTAACCTCAGCAGCAAGTGTGTGTGTGTGTGTGTGTGTGTGTGTGTGTGTGTGTGTGTGTGTAGCCTGCAAACCTTTCCCCAGCCTCTCTTCCTTTGTTTCTCATCCAGCCCCATCTTCCACTGGCTTGGGGCTGTGACTTCTTTCCCCAGCCCCACCAGCTCTGCCCTGTCCTGAACTCCTTTTCCAGAGGGGAGCTCCCAACTCTAGACATGGCTGGAGTCTTTCCCCTGCTGACCAAGCACTCTTAGGGTCAAACCTTTTCTGCTTATCCTGCCAGGACCCCTGCCTGGGCCAACCATGCCTTCCTCTTCATGTGGCCATGCTCACTGCCCTGTCACAGGTGGCCCCCTCCCTCCCCTCATGAGTGCCCGCAGTCCCTCAGCTTCCAGGGTGTGGTCTCCTCAGTCCCTGGAGGTTTTTCCTTCCTCTAGGCCTTTGCCTGTGCCATGTTTGCTCTTGGAGACCCTGAATCTCAGCCAGACATTCCCCCAGGACTGTCCCTCCAGCTACTTGTAGTGTGGGCCAGCATGGATATGCTGATTTGCTTGCCCTGGTCATCTCTCCTGCCACAAAGGCAGGGAGTGTGCCTGGTGTCATTATGGTAGTCAGAAGTCCCATGAGTACTGGTGTACGATGCTCAAGGGGTGTTGACTCCATGCCTGTGGGAAGCTGTGAGGAGTGCACAGAACTCAGTCTTCTTATACAACCTTGCCAGCCCTCTTTCAGGTGTCCCCTCCCCATCTCTGAAGTGCAGGGGCTTGTGTCCCCCAAGGCCAGAAAATTACCCTTAGACTCCTTTAACTGAGCAGATTTGCAGCTTTATTCTTCTGTCAGGAAAACATGGTGGGAGGATTAGCTTATGGAACTTTCAGGGAGGTAGAACTATCCTGCATGTTTGGTGAGAATGGACACCCTAGCTCCAATGCCTGGTATTACACCCCAAAGTGAGCTGTCCCATCCCACAGTGGGCAGCCAAAGGACCACTTGAAAGGCTTAGGTTCACAGGGACAGGGTCTGGTGGTGGTCCCTGGCTGGAGGCCTTGGCCAGCATATAGAGTCAATGGAAAGCCCTGGGAGGCAGGTCTGTGATGGGTTGGGGGTAGTGGCCAACTGGTGGGTGGGAAACATGGCAGAAGGATGGAATGAATGACTGAACATAAGAAATAAGTGGGTGAGTGGGTAGATAGATGAATGGATGGGTGGGTGGATGGAGGGATGGATAAATAATGGATAGATGAGTGGGTAGGTAAGTGGATGGAAGATGAATAGATGAGTGGGTGGATATATGGACTGATATGTGGATAGATGATGGATAGATGAGAGGGTGGGTGCATGGGTGATAACAAGGGTAGCTATGAGAATACAAAGAGCTCGAGGAATCCAATGCCCCAAACTCCCAGCCACGTCCCTTAGGCAAGGGCACAGGCAGCCAAGGGGCCAGATTGATACAGGACATGCATGGGATTGCTTCTGTGATAATGGAAATGAAAACTGGGGCAACAGCAGGAATTTATAGCCAAAAGCTTTAATTGAGAAAAAAGAGACAATGGAAAGGGACATCAGCTTGAAGAGCTTCAAGGGGCAACAGGAGAGCACAGTTCTCAATGAAATCAGATTGGGCCATTAACAACAACAACAAAAAAGGAACTAGCTTTTAAAGGTATTGCTGGGATAAGCTAGATCTGGCCATTTTCCACTGCGTCATGAATACAGTATTTCTTTTTTTTTTGTTTTTGTTTTGCTTTTCTCCGGTACCGGGAACCGAACTCACGACCTTGTGCTTGCCAGGCAGGCACTTTTGCAGCTGAGCTAGATCCCCAGCCCCATGAATACAGTATTTCTTGAGACTTTTTCCTTGTATTTTAGGGGATTTTCTCCTGGTATAGGATGTGGATTAACAGCCAGTAAGTAAGGAGAGGGTATGTTACATTCATTGTTAGCAAGGAAGGATGGGAAAGATATGTCTTTCCCTTTAGTGGGTAACAGACTATGAATTAAGACCTGAGAATCCCTCTGTCCCTTGTCCCTGTTCTATTTCATTATGGCTAGGTGCACAGCCTCCTGCCAAGCAAGGCCAGAGTGAGTAGGAACCCCAAGCCTGAGCCTCTCAGTTCTCAGCCTGGAAATTGAGGGTAGAAGATGCTAGGAGGAACGGGAGGATGCTTCTTATTCCAGGATGGCCAGGGGTCCCCAGGACCCAGCAAAAGGCTGAGGTTCTCTGGGAGGGGGGTCTTGGAGAGGTACACCTTCTCAGGTGTCCTTTGTTGGGAGTTCTCCAAGGCAGGGAGATCTACCCTTGTGGGGTAGGAGTCCAGGGCCTTTAGCCCTTCCTCTCTCCCTGGAGCAGCCTGGGAGAAGGAGGGCAGGGGAATGACAGCCAGAACTTGGATCCTCCTCCTGGAATGGGTGGGGTGCAGGGAGCTGCTCAGCCTGTGAACAAACCCCTGCTGACAGGGATGGAAGACTCAGATCCTGGCCTTCACTTGGAGCAGTGCCCACAACAGGCTGGCAGAGGCGCTAGCCCAGAGGGCCCCAAAGCTGCACGTTAGGCCTGAAGCTGCACTGTTGCACCGGGTGTTCTGGCAGCACGAGACGGAGAGGGCACGGCCATCTGAGGACACCGTGCTGTTGGGGCAGGTTGGGGCACAAGACTTCATGACCAGCATGCCTCCAGGGTTGGCTGCAGAGAGAGGACAAGATCCGTGGTGTTAGGAGCCACAGGCCCTATGTCCCCACACACCCACTGGGCCCTCAGGGAGCCCCATACCTGGGGGCACGGCTTGTTTTGGTGAGTCCTGCAACCTCGAATGCCTGTGAGAGCTTGAGGTAGGAGTTTTCTGTGCCACAGGGTACCTGTGGGGTCCTGTCTCCTGCTCTGAAAAGGCTCTTTAGGTATGACATGATGGCTCCTTCCTCCCCTAGTGTCCAGGAACTCACTTCTCTTCTCCTCTGAGGATAGACCTCCTCTCATCCCTCGTCCCTCCTGTGCCTGTGAAGCCTGAGACGGTGGTGAGCGATGCTGAGGACAACATAGCCTCCATAGCTGCCTTTTGACCTTGAGTCCCACAAGGAAAATGGGGGCAGGCCTTGCCAAGGGGCCCTAGGGAGCCAGAGGGGATGGTTGTGGTAGGGGTCTTGGACAGTGCCCCATCTCTAAGAGGGAAACACTTCAGCGTGCACGCACATGGCAGGGACAAGAGGGATACTGGGAGGATGGAGGCTGTTTTTTCTTAGCCTGCTCTGTTCAGAACATTCTGGGGCTATGACCCAGACCTTGGTGTTCTTGTTTGCATCTGGCCCAGGAAACATGGGATGGGGGCAGGTGCTTCTATCTTGGGAAGCCTGATCTCTCTATGCCTCTGTTTCCCTGTGTAGAAGTGCAGAAAACAGTGAAGTCACCTTCTGCTCTTGTTTGAGAATTAAATGAGTAAGTTCCTGGGTAGTGTTGAGAGCAGGTGGCATGTGGTGACTGTGGGGGTACATTAGTCATTAGCAGAGTGTAGTTAGTTGTACAGTTGAGTAGTTCAGGGACATCTGAACAGCCCTTTTCCACCCTTGGCAAAGCAGAGAGGTGGAGCTCCCAGCTCCAGGTGGATTGAAGCTGGACCTGGACAGCAGGAATCTACCTGTGGCCATAAGGCTCAGTCACTAGCTGGGACGTGGCTCTGACAGGCACCTGACAATGGTATTTCTTTACATCTTGTTCATGTAAAGTTTTAGTTGAACACTGTGGTTAGTAGGTGCACATGCCTAGTTTTAAGGAAGGAGAGCCGTTTTTCTGGATAAGATGGAGAAGGGGTAGCATTTGTAGCCCACTTCTGAAAAATCACTGGGAGACATAGACAGGATGGCACCCTCACCAGCCCTCACAGGCTGAGAGTTTGCAGAGAAGAGGCCCTCACTCCGGCTGGAGCTGCCTGGAGATTGTACGGGGTGGGGAGGGGACTCTGAGAAATGGGGCCCCTGAGCCAGCTGTGAGAGGCTTGAGTCAGAAGATGACCTGTCCCCACCTAAGCCTCACCTCCTACACCTGACCTTGTGAGTCAGTAGTAGACACGGATACCATCTCCTGACCTTTCCCTCTCTCCAACCACAGGGGCCAAGAGGCACCTGCTCTGGCCACACACAATGGGGAAAGCCATGATCTCCTGGGGCCACCTCTGTGGCACAGGGACACTAGTAGATTGCTTCTCTCTACCTATGTTGGACCATCCTGCTGGAAACTCTTGTCCACACCCGCATGTTGCTCCAGGGTGCCTCCTACTGTCCCTCTGTGGGGCAACCCCCCATGGGTCAGCCTCTGGCACTCCCATAACCACATGATTTGGGTAGGCTGTGACCTCTGAGGCCCTTAAAGAACAGGGATGGCCCCAAATATTTCCATGTCCCCAGGACCAGCAGACACTCAGGGAGATGGATGAACAAATAATGGCCAGACAGATAGATGCTCAGGGGGGAGTCAAGTGGGAAGAGGGGCAAGTTGGAGCCTAGAATGCTGGGCAGCCTGAGAGAACCCTCCACCCCTGGGATGGCACCATGGGCAACCAAGAACTCTGGTCTTGTCTGGATATGAGAGCAGAGACTTCAAGAGAGGGGATCCAAGGTGTCCTGTGTATTCTGGGGGGCACTATGGAAGACTGTCCCTTACTCATTTCAGCTTTATTGTTGGAGCCCTTTTCTTGGTGGTTTGTTGCCCTTTGCTCCCCCGTGAAATCCTACAGGGCAAAGATCCCATCTTTCCAGATTCTGCCTTGTGCTGGGCAGAGTGGCTGGGCCATGGGGCCCATAGATGCTCACAGGACCAAGAGCAACTTGGCGTGGTAGACCAGAAGTCTCTGGGAAAGACCCTGCTCTACTTGGTGGGAGAATCCTGGAGGCAATGGAACACCATATAATGCTCTCTCCCAGACCCCCTGAACTGAGAGGAGCATGAAGGACATCTAGGGACTAGGAAGGAGCTGTATGGGGTCTGGGCTATGCTATGTGTTTGGGGGCCCTGCAAGATACTGCCTCCTTAAAATGGGTATGGCTCCAAGATTGAGCTTGTGGGGTGTTGGTGGGAAACTGGCCCATGGTCACACAGTGAGGCTGCCTGACCCTCAGCCTGGGGGAGCCTGGTAGAAGGTACCCTATAATCACAATAGCTGCATTTATTAAGGGTGAAGCATCATCCTGATAGTTGTAGCAAGCTGCAAGAGGAAAGGACCCCCATCCCCTTTCCAAAAGCAGAGGTGACATTGCCTGCCCTGGATCCCCACCAAGGTCTGAATGGTCAGCCTACTCCTCCACCACCCCCATGCCAGCTCCCTTCCTAGGGATGCAGCAGTGCCTCAAGTTGGGGTCCCACCTGGTCCTGTGGTAAATTCCTGGTCACCCTTCACCACTGCCCAGTCTTCTGCAGCTAGGTCAGATCTTGCCACACTCAGAGTCCCTCTGCTCAAGATTCTCCCCTGGGCTATTCAGGTGCTCTGCTGGGATGCCTGTAACTGTAACCATCTTGGCCTGATCTGTAAGCTCTGGGCTCTGGCCCAGCTGTCTGGCTTGTGGAGGAACTAGACTGCAAAGGAGCACAGGAGGCCAAACAAGAATAAGGTCTGGCCTGGGGGTTGCAGGGGAGGGTGCTGGTCAGAGGGCCTTCTTATTGACACTGGACCACTATGACATGGATAGGGCAGAGTTCCAGGCTCAGGAAGATGGCACTCAGGGGTAGAGGTTATGACTGGCTGCTGCTGATTAAGACAGGGAACTGGGGAGATCCAGGCTTTGGCACTGGCTGGGGGTCAGCATTTCCCAGATCACAACATATATACAACTGCCCCATCTTTAGTTTAAACTGTGAACTGGAGAATAGTGGTGCTGCTGGGGTCTATCCTAGGGTTGGGCAAGGGCACTGTGGGTGCCTGGCTTGGTATGGAGTGTGGTAAGGGGCTGAGATGGGGCTGGGAGCATCTCTGTGCAGGGCAGGACAGGTGGGAGTGGCCCAGATACTCACTCGCCCGTGTGATCACACAGTACTTGTCCGTCGGGGCACACTCCACTAGAGACTCGCAGTTCTCATGGCCACAGCACACATGGCAGTGTAGGGCCTGGGCTGAGGGAAAGCACAGGCTATCAGTCTGGGCTGGGGTTGGGAGCAAACACTCAGCCACCTGCCTAGTGGTCTGCTCAAGGTTACCCTCTCTGAGCCTCTTCCTCCTCCAGTGGAGCTCAGATAAGCAGAGGGACTAAAGACTTTGTGGTAGTGACTCTGAATGTTCTCCCTTCTTCCCCCTTTGGCCAGGAACCAGGCTGTCTGAGAGAAAGCAGGCAGAGGACATATTATGGCAGGCCGCCCTCAGGCTGGGCTTACAACCTTTGTGGCCCATGGCTTCTCTAGCACGTATGAACTCATGTACACTTCTGATTCCCTGCTCTCTGGCTGCTTCTGGAAAGGGGACTGGGAACCCTAGAGAACGTGGTAGCACCATGTCAGCTAAGCCAGTGAAAGACTAGATGGGTGGATAGATGAATGGATGGTTGGCTAAATGGGTGAATAGATGAATAAGTGAGAAGATGGAAGAATGGGTGGGTGGGTGGACAGATGGATGGGTGGATAGATAAATACAAGGATGTATGAGCGGATGAATGGATAGGTAGGTGGGTGGATGAGTGCATGGGCAGAAGGATGCATGGATGGCTAGATGAATGGGTGAATGTATGTATGTATGTATGCATGTATATATGTATAGACGGGGTGGGTGGATGGATAGAGGGGTGGATTAGTGGATAGATAGATGGATGGAAGGATGGAGGGGTGGGTGGATGGATAGGTATGTGGATGGGTAGAGGATGAGTAAGTGATGGGTGGATAGGTAGGTAGATGGGTAGTTAGGTAGGTGAATTGGGAGATGGATGGATGGATGGATGAGTAGGTGGTGGATAGGTGGATGGATAAGTGGATGGATGGGTAGATAGGTGGATGTACAGGCAGATTGGTGGGTGAATGGATGACTGGATGGATAGGTGGAGGGATTAATCAAGAGGTTCATGGGGGATGAGTGGATGAGTGGTTGAATAGAGAGTGGATAGATGAATGGATGGGCGGGTTGATGAGTGGGTGGACTGGTGCATGTATGGGTGGGTATATAGGTGGATTTGTGGGTGAATGAATGGATGGATAGATGGATAGTTTGATGGAGATGTGGATGGTAGAAGGCAGAAAAATAGAGCAGCAAGATTTAATATAAGGAAGATTGACTTCAAAGGTGATCTAGGTTTCAGTTCTGCTGTTCTTTGTCTCCTCCTTCTCTGAGCCAAGGTGTACCCATGTACGAGGTGGGAATAATGGTAACATTCTTGGTGTGCTCAGAAGATGAATGATGTAATGTATAATGCACATGGCTCCTGTCACCTTCTTCCTTAGAAGAGGGCTTGAGGCATTTCCAGCTCTGAGATGGTCGCCTGCAATCCAGACACAGGTGGGTTGCCTGACTAGGGTAGGCAGGCTCTGAGGACTTTGAGCCTAGTATAGCTGATCAGTGAGATGGAAATAATATTCCAAGCCTTGTACTCCATCAACCAGAGGCATGCTGGTAACCCCCAGCCTCAGGCTGAATGCAGAGGTCACAGCTCAAGATATTGGTCCAGGCTGTTAGTGAGAGAGAGTTAAGCAGGTTCTGGAGATGGCTGACCCAAGGTGCTGTGCAATCAGCCTTAGTTTCCAACTATAAGGACTGACAAGGCTGCCCTTGAGCTAACACAGGCTGTATGGGTATGGCTGACCCACAGACACTGAAGTTTCCATGAGTGGGCTGGAGTAAAGGGTACCATGGTTACTCTATGGAGATACCCAGTAAGGGCCAACTTGCTTTTAATAGAGGGCAGGGTGACTTTGGAAGTCTTCCTGGAGGGGATGGGGCAGATCTAGACCTGTCCAAGAAGATTCCTATGGGGAAGAGATGCAGTATGGGATGCTGCAGAGACAAAGTTAGCTCTTATGGGTTGCAAGGACTCAGAGCTGGGATTAGGCATGCTGAGAGTTAGGAAGCCAAGAGTCATGTCCTGGTGTGGAGGCTGCTGCTAAACTTGGAATGTGTGTTCTGAAAGCAGTGTCCTGTAGAAGGTCCCACAGGAGTTTACCTATAGCGGTTTCCCACAGAGTATCCTATGTAAGGTATCCTGTCAGAGTGTGCTGTATGAAGTTGTGTCCTGTAGGTGTGTCCTGTGCAAGTATCCTAGGCAGGGTGCACTTGCTCTGACCTTAGAGGTTCATCTGTGGAATGAGATGATCTTGCTTTCTGTGCATGGGTCTGCTGGGGGCTCAGCCTCCATGGCCTGTGACTGCAGAGTGCAGAATAGATTGTTACTGACCTGAGTGCTGCAAGTGATCAGGCTCAGAGGAGCACAGTGCCCTTTTACAGGCTGAGAACCAGGTCATGGTTCTGGAATCCCAAGGAAAAAACCTCCCTGTTGGGGATGATTTCCGGCCATTTTTGGTGTCCGCCTGCATCTAAGTTGTCAGTCTTGTTGAAGTCATGGAGATGATCCTAGGTGGTTCAGCAAGGACTCACACAAACTCAGTTTCCCTGCTAGGGTCCTCCTGGTTTCCTGACTCAGTGCTGGTAAGGAGTCCTGGGCTAACACTAGTTATATCCTCCAGCAGTAGCCAATCCCCACGAATGCTGTGTAATATAAACACTGTATGGTCACCCTCCCACGAAAGCAGAGTGCTAAGGGGACAAAGGTGTTCAGCAAGTGTCCCTATCTCGACACAGCCTTCCTCTGTCCTGAAGTTGTACCCAGACCCTAGGGCAGGTGAGACCAGAGTAGTGCCCTGGTCTGGGACCCCCCAGTACCTTCCTCTTTGTGCTCTCTGATAAGTTGTGTCCCCAGCCCAAACTTGACCACTCCTTGTCCTCTGTGGCCAGCCTTGGACCCTTGCCTAATGCTGCTCCATCCATCTCACCAGCTGCCCATTGTGAGCCTCTTTCCAGCTAGAATGCTTTCCAAAGTCCCCTCTCCAGCCCCACCCCTCCGCGTCCCACCTACTCCACGCTCAAGAGAAGCTGATGGGGCTAATTATCCTTGGATAATAATCATTCAGCTGATAATCACAGGCTCTAGCACATCCCCTCCTACCCTTGGCCTCATTTTTTTCTGTCCCAAAACCAGGTCACTGGGATCAGTGCAGAGTGGGCTGCAAGGAAGGAGACCCACTTGTTCTGTCTTGCCTAGGACTTCTCACTTTGACACTAAGTCTTACACCCTAGGAAGTTTTCATCCTGCGAAGAGGCAGCTGGCACTCTAACTGAATCCCACGTCTGGGCAGTTCCGTGTCTTAGCCCTCTTGCCTGAAGTTTTACCTCTACAGGAGCCAGAAAGATACCAGACACCTTCTCCGAAAGAAAGGGGACTCCCAATCTGGGTGGGCAAAGAGCCATGTAAGAGGCCTCCCCCTCACTCCCTACAGCCCCCACCCCGGGCTCATACCCTAGAGGGCATTGACTTCCTTGGCCCAAGGCAGACATCCTAGTGCCCAGGCCTGGGGAGGTCTGCCTGCCCCATTCCTGCATGGTGCCACCAGTGACCTTACCTAGAGCAGCACACACGGCAGCTTGAAGTAGCAGCACCAGAAGAGGCCTCATCGTGGACGTCCACTGGCAACTGGGAAACTTCCAGAACAAGGGCACCTTTATACAGCTGCCAGGCCACTAGGGTCAGACTAGGTAATTTGACTGGAATATGAGCATGGGATGGTAAGACTGTGACTCATCCACAGGGCCCTCAGGGCTCTGAGGAGGTCTGTCCCTTGGTCCCATGGGGGGCCCCCTGTTTGTCCCTTGGTCCTGAGCCAATGGCCTCCTCTCTGGCAGTTAACAAGAAGCCCTCAGGTGGGCTGGAGAGAAGAAAGGCATCTTCCCTGCCCTGAGGGTCGGAGGGAACCACCCCAGCTAGAGCTCTTCTGAGATGTAAAGTCTGTCCCCTTTGCCTTCCCAGCTAGGCAGGGAGGCGCCAAACACATTTTAATGGGGAAATGGAAGTGCTGTGAGCTGAAATCCAGCTTTGGGTCAATGTTCCTTATCTTCAGAGTGCACAGTCACTTGGAGACCTGGTAAACTTCTGAGTCTGACTTGGAGGGCCAGGCAGGGCTGACACCGTGCCTTCTTAGGATCCCTTGGGGTCACTGTACTGCTGGGCTAGAGCCCACAGAACCAGACCTGCGGTAGAAGTCTGGGGTGCACAGCAGCCCTGTCCGCACTGGCTCCCTGTGTCTTACCTCTGGGTCAGCTTGGAGACTATGAAATGACCAGGATGCCTGGCGACACAGGAAATGGCGTGTGCTTCCATTGCTCTGTCAAGTCTTGCTGGGGTCTCAGAGGCTGAGAGGCAGAGGCTCATGCCTCCTGGTTTCTGCTCCCTCCTCTCCAATGGGCCCCATCCCCAGGCCTGCCTGGTCTTCTTTGGCCTCCCTCCCTCCCCTCTGGCCTCCCACTTCCTTCTGGAGGCTCCTCTCTCAGCCTCCTGTGCAGGCGCCTCACATCCACCCCAGCACACCCATGTCTCTAGCACTCTTAGCCCTCTGGTCTGGGCTGGAAGGAAGGGAAGCAGGCAAGGAGTGGAGAGGAGAGGGGCAGAGGGATGTAGGCAACTGTGCAGGGTGAGCAGGAGGCTGCAGCTTCCTGTGGGCAGCCTTCTCACCTCTTCTGTGGGGTCTATGGGAAATGAAAACGTTGCCCAATGTCCTGTTCCCTAAGGGGAGCACGTGGTTGTGACCCAGGGGAGTCAACTCACTGGGAAATATTTTCCCAAGCTAAATAGATTATGTGACACAGGCCATGTGCTCTGCCCACTGAGGACCCCAGAGTTTTGCTCCCACTTCACATACTTCCATGGGACTCACACACCGCCATCCCCTGCTGAGCCAACATCCCTGCCACTGGAGAAGTTGGAACGTATATCAAAATCTGGGTTAAATAACCCTAAATTATTGCAGGATGATCAGGCCTGCAGTTTCCCAAGGAAGTGGACTTTGAAGGTTTAAGTAAAATGCAGACAATATTATGATTTTAGGGCACCAGGAGGGACTAACTCTCTTACAGCTTCAGTATTCTCTGAGTTAGCCAAAGACTGCTCTGGGTGACCCGTATTTATTAGGTTTTCAAACAAAGGGAGAGGATACTCAAGAAAACATGGGAATCTTGCAGGACCTTGGGAGAATTTTCCCAAGTAGTAAATTATGTCAATCAGGAAAACTACCTTATCTTTAGGTTGGTATTTATTGTAGGAGTGTGGGGCCTGCAGCTGCAGTCTTCTGGTAGTTAATTGGCATTGGAGCCAAACGTCTTCAGCTGTGGCTTTATCTTGTCAGAAAGGTGCCTAAGCTTCAGACAACTCACAAGTAAACATGGAAAGCCAATTGGTTAATATTAAATCCTACTCAGAGCCACTTTGTAGTGGTCCCCAACAAAAGTGGACCAGTTCACAGGGGAAGAGACAAGGGCAGGTTAGAGAGATGGATTTTACCCAGGCATGCTGAGTCCAGGCCTTCTCTGGAGGGACTGTGACCTCTGTGGGCAGGGCCACAGCATGTAGTGAAGACACATGTGCCCTCAGACCAGCCCACCTTAACAGGACCTGCCAGCCCAAAAGCTGGCCTGTTTGCTGGTTCCTCAGGTGGTACATATGCCTGAAGAGGTGCCAGGACTTTTCCTCTGAGAACCCTGGGGAAACAAAGTCAGATAGTACCTCAGAGTAGTGACTAGCCTAATAGCGGTTCCTTTCCGCCAGCTCACAGTGATACAGGAGAGAAGGGCCCAGTGCTTTCCAAGAGGTACTTTTTATTCCCCAGGAGCTGCCATCCCTCGTGGCTGGAAGAGTTCCTGAGGCTTGCCTGTACCTGCTTGCTCTGAGTGGCAGAGAGGGCTGCTAACCCTAAGAGCTAGGAGCTGCTGACATTCAAAGTTCAGGGCTGTTAACACTAAAAGAGCTACACTTTGCCAATTTGTGATTTCTACACGAGCTAAGCAAGAGAACCTTCGGCAGCCGGATGTGATGGCGCATGCTGTGATTCCAGCTACTTGAGAAGCTGAGGCAGAAATATAGTAAGTTCAAGGCCAGCCTGGACAACTTAGGAAAAGTGTGTCATAAAATAAAATAGCAAAATAAAATAAAATAAAGTAAAATAAAATAAAATAGGCTGGAGATGTAGCTCAGTGGTAAAGTACTTGCCTAATATGCACCAGTCCTAGGTATTATACTTAGTACTGAAAAAGAGAGAAATAACCATCAGCTGCTTTGTAATGTGGCCTGTATGGGGACTCTCCCCTTTAGAGAATCCTGAAAAAGAGGGCAGACAGTGGTGATAGTCATAAACAGGCTTTAGCGTCAGCAAGATCATGCCGCTAAGAATCTATGTTAGTGCTGATAATACCCCACTACACTGCTGGCCTCTCATCCTGTACCTCGTATGGGCCATGGGTCCCCTCTCAGCACTCCCAACCCTCTTGCTGGCCTCACAGGCAGCAAGAGCTCCTCCTTGTTGTGGGCTGATCCACGGTGCTCTTGCCTGGACTCTGGCCAGCCTTCTGGTGCCACAGTGCCTTCCCGCTGGCTGGTTTCCTGAGCCTCAGTTCCCTCCCTCTCCTCAACTCCTCTTCTCTACTTCCTCCAGGGAGCCTCTCCTGACCCCACATAGAGCTCTCTTTTCTCTGAATTCCTGGCATTTTGGGCTTTGGTGGAGAAAAGGGATGAGGATCCATCACATCCACAGATGTCCCCTGGCCTGTACCCAGGCCACTGATGTCCTGCTTGGGCCCATCATGCAAGAATCTGATGCCCCTGGTAGATTCAAGCACCTCCGTGGTTGGTAGATCACACCTTCCTGAGGTCAGAAACTGGGGCAGCCTTCAGGACTGCAGACCTCATCACTGGGGACACCTGAGAGATTCCCGAACTCTGGAGCCTCAGATTATGCAAAGAAGGATTGTAGCTTAGTACTGTCCATTGTGGGTGCTTAGTGCATTCCTTTCCTCTATCGTCACATGAACAGGCTGCTGGGTTCTGTATGCAGTTGTACTGGGCCCTGTGTGAAGAATGGATGCAGTGAAACCCTGGTTCCCAGAAGTTCCCATAGTGGGAGGGACAAAGGAGACACAGGGGATGGGGATTGCATCCCAGTCATTAGGGGTGTAGGAAGGGCACAGATGCAGCAGTTGAGGGATCCATCAAGCCAGGTCACCTCCCAGAGGGGCCTGTGCTCCCCAACCAGAATGTAGAGTTCGGAAGCCCTCTCCTGGCTGCATGGTCCTCTGAGGTGTCAGGTAGGGGCATTTCTCTGCTGACCCAGACATTTGCTGGGCAGGAAGGAGGCCTGGCCAGGGACAAAATGGACAAGTGGGTGTAAGATTGCCTCTTATACCCACTCCCTATCACACTTTGAAGGAGGCTAGAGGGATGGCTTTGAAGAGGAGTATTGCAGCCCCAGTCCTGCTCTGAGCTTCGCCAGGGTCCAATTTCTCTACCTCCTCCACTCTCCTGTGCTGTCCTGCCTGCTGCTCACAGCAAACAGCACCTCCAAAGTTCCAAGTCCACTCAGCAGAGAAAGTAAGAGTTACGGTTTTTGTCTAGATGTACCCCCAAAGCCTCATGCTGTCATGGGCTGGGCTTCTAGAGTTTGTGATTGATTCATGGTCCAGTGCTGGGATTATGGGTGTGAGTGCTACACCTGTCCTGGGGCAGGTAGCTTGTGTACAATATAGGAGAGGGAAAGAGGCTTGCTCTCTGTGCTGAGCTCCTCCTTTTTTGCTCTTGTTGCTTTTGCTGTTTTCTGCTGCCATGAACTGTTGCCCTTTGCCATGTGCCACTCTGCCTTGGAGCCAGCCAAGTATGGACGGAAACCTCCACACACTGTGAGCTAAATAAACCTTTCCTTCCTTAATTTTGAGTGTTGGGTATTTTGTCTCAACAACAAGAGAAAAGTAACCAAGACAATAGACTTTCTCCAAGCCTTCAGGCCCACCCTGGAGCTTGGTGCATGGAGATTTCTGGGACACTGGGTGAGATGTCCCAGGGAAGCTGCAGAAACCCAGTGGATCTTCTAGAGATTCAAAGTCCCTTTAGGCAGTACTGCCTAACTGGTTTTTCTGCAGATGTCTGGCCAGTGTGTGGATTAGAGCTTGATGCCTGCCTGGACGTATTGGAGATGCAAATAAAACACATGCAATTTCCATAGCCATCTGTTTGTTTATTAGTTTCACAGATATTTATTATATCTTTTACCTAGTGTGGGTGCTGCTGTTTCCCAGAGTGGCCTTGACTGGGAGCTGGAGGGCCAGTATCTTATATGAGAAGGACCGCAGTGGTAGGAATGTGTATTCCCACACAGGAATGTATATTCCACAGTCCTGGAGAGCTAAAGAGACCTATCAGTTGGCATCCTCTGGGCCCATGGGACAGGAACATTTGGCTTCTCAACATGGCTATGTCTTCTTGGCCTGCTTATTTTTCATGACTGTGGGTGGCTGTAAAAGAGTAATTCTCACTCCTGCAGTGGCTTTATAGCTTCCTGCCTCACCATGTAATTTCTCACTCTGATACACACTTCTACTACTGTGCCATGAGGTCCTACCAGAGGTGAGCAAAAACAGTACTA